CAGACAGCAAGAATTACTCACCTATTCTTGGCATCACTCATAGCAAGTGAGTGCTCCCTTTACATTTCCAGAAAGGCAGGTAGAAACAGCCCTTAACATACTATTACAGACTGGAAAAGACATTTCATTTGAACATGTTTTTATGAACTGACAAGTTATTTTAAAACTTCCCTATAGTTAACTGCTGGAATGCTACAGCCCAAAAGCTTTATGCCACATTCTGACTGGTGTGCAATAGGAACTGTGTGAGCAGACAGTAGACGACCACTACACAAAGCACACAGCCAGCCTTAAATGCAGCACTAGAAAACACTGAAAAACTCCATGCACACAAGCCCGTGAAGAAGAAAAGGGGTAAGGAGAGGAGAAGAGGGTTTAACCTAGAAGCCAAGCAGCCTACCTCATCTCCCAAGATGGGGACATTAAATAAACAGATAAGCACAACTGCTTTGACATGCGGTTATACAATGTGCAGAAACACTTTCCTTTCTTCAAACGCAGCTATCCTCTTGCAGCATTTTGGCGTAGCCAGAATTGGACCTTGCAAGAGTCTCCGTTCAGTGTTGCAACTTAGTTTGCATATTAAGATTCTATGGCTCATGGTCACAACAGTTTGTTGGGGAAGATTTCTTTGGAATATTAAGTATTTTATAATCTCAGCAAAAAATACACAAAGTGTCTCTGCTCAAAAATTAAAAATCTAAGGTAAGAGGAAGCAGCTTTGATCTCTCACCCATACCCCACCCTCTTTGCTAATAGGCGATTCTAGCTTTGTAAAAGCCAATCCCATAAATTTGCACCTAATGTAGTTATCTGTGGATGAAACAAGTACTAGAATTCCAAACCAAATGGAGGTTGGGACACATTGAGAGAGTAATCTAAAATAGTTTGAAAAAGATCTGCACGTAGCTATTTACCCATTAAAACATCTCTATTTAAAGCAATGCTAGTTTAAAGTTATTCTTTACTACACTTTTTATCATTAAGAATTTGTTAATGGGAAGTGTTTGAGTCTATAAATGACTAACTGATTTCAGTTTGGAAAAAACTGACTCTTGGCATCATATTTAAGTCTAGCTGAAGTTTTTTAAAACAATTAAAAAAAACCCAAACACTTTCCTTAAAAATAAATAAATAAATAAATAAATAAACCTGCCACTCTCTTACAAAACAGTATTTGGTTAAGGGAAACAGTTAAATTAGAAACTGACCACACTAGTACAAATGACTAGTTCACTTTCATTGTCTGAATAAGTGAAATTCAGAGTAACAGCATACACAAAAGTAAAACTAACTTTACATTTCCAGACGTGTGTGTCTACCTCACTATATCTATGGTGCTCATAATGTTTATGTACAATGGATTTCTTTTTGAAAAGGTTTTAAAATTTAGCCCCTTTAATACTGGCCATTGGAAACATCACATTGTTAAAGAATCAATGGGGGCCAAGAAAAAACATGAGCTTTTATTTGTCTCTTTCCACTAATATTTCTGGGTTAGCAAACTTAACTGTATTTTTTTATTTTTGGTAAGGGGACATGTATTAAGGTTTTAGGAAAAAAACAAAATAGCATATGTTGTAATGACACTTCACTTAGTTTCATTCTAGTACATACAAGCCACATTAACTGTATTAGGCAATTTTGAACTCTCCTCCCCATTACTAAAATGAGTATCACAGATATATGTTACTAGATACTGGAGCTATCGGGGGTTTTTTAAGTTACATAAAAGGAAGATCAGATCCAAGCTATTTTTAAAGTGATACTGAAAATCTCCCAAACTTCACTGTAATTCAGTTTGTTTTTAAATTGGCTTTCATTCTTTAATGTTTTAAACATTTCAAAAAGAGCTTTAGTAACTATCTGCAATGTTAAGTGTGGAAAAATCCTTTCCGTATCAATCAGCATGTATTCTCAATGGGCCACAAGCTACACTGGTTGAATAGAAAAGTCTGAATGCAAGATTAAGTTCATTAATGAACTGCAATAGGTTAATATCCACCTCAGTGCATTTAAGATGAATGCATCTAGGATGTACAGAATATAGGTAGAGATGACTGAAAGAAGCACAGATTAATTTGGAATACCTCACAATCTGAATTACTAGTTGATTGCTTGTTTATGTGCTTGAAATCATAGTGTTCTTAATTATCTCAGCCCTGCAGTAAACATCTTTGAAAAGCTTTAAAGTGTGCACAATAATGGCCACATAATTGTGTTGCACATTTTCCAAGTTTTAATTGACACAAAAGTGAGTCCACTGTACTTAAGACACTACACTGATTTCATTCTATTGCATGTCCTGCTCCAATTACATTTCTTAGAATACAGTATATAGTAAAAGTTTTGTAGCTTTAAAATTAACAAGTGTGTGAAATCTGTAAGTAAAATAAGCAGCAGCAATAATTTTTGGGATTTTATCAAGAGTAGCTAGTTTTAAGTAATAAATACATTCCAAGTTGTGGTATTCACTATTCTCCTAGTTCACTGCTTTACTTGTCAATTCCCTTGTTTTCGGTTAGATATCCTTAAGACTTTCCTGTCAGCCTCGCACCAGAAGAGTCTCCTAACTCCAGTCCAGGTGCCCGTCACCCTTCACAGATAAGCAGTGCAATCTGACAAGGAAACTCATCCTGCTGTCATCTGCATGGCAACCTCAAGATTCTCCTGGGGAGCATGTCAGGATGTTTACAGACTTCATGAAACTCTAGGAGAACAGCTGTGCTCTTATCTTCTGTTACCTTGAAGAAAGTGAAAGAGGGAGAGAGGTTATTGCAAGTGGCACAGAACTGACCAATATTAGCTGTGAGAGGCTCATTCTCCTTTACTTCATCCAAATATAACCTGCAACTCTTGCGGTCTAAATTTGCATGGCAAACTGAAGACATAGCAGCTACAGTTTAATAAGAGCCTCATTGAATTAACAGATCTAAATCAAAGTTGGAAGTAAGCAACAATACCACTGAAATATTTTTTGAAGAATGGAGTTGTCATTTTAATGATGAAGAATAGAATGTGATAGCTGGCTAGCTTAGTATTTAAATCTTAAACAATTCACTTTTTGGTGTAGGGATATTTTAAGTTAACCAGAGTCCAGTATAGGAAAAGACCCATCAGGAATTTTTAAGATTCTTATAGTCCATTTTTTCCCCCTTGTGACCTGTACTTCTCCAAAAAAAAAAAAAAAAAAATTAATTATAAAATAGGAAAAAAGGTTCTTCATGGAATCCAACCCCTTTAACTCTTTTTAAGCTTGGAGTAAGGAATTGCAGCTGTTTAAATTAGCTGATGCACGTTTAACATCTGAGTTTTCAGGTAGAAATGTACATTTCTGATTTAAAAAAAAAAAAAAAAAAAGCAAAAGCAAAAGAAATGTTTCCTTCCAGCCAACCATACACTGCTCAGAATAGAAATAATCAGAAATGAGTACATTTCATTTCAACTTAAGGGTTGAAACAGGGAGAGACCTGAGATGATTGTGAGATACTGCTGTCAGACCAGATTGGCACAGAGTATTCCTCCCACACCATTCTTGCAGGATACCAACGAGAGTCATTAACACGCCCGATAGTCCAATCCATACCTCTAAGCAGAGGAAGTTATTCATACCCAACTATAGTAATCTAATAGTTGTGATATGTACCTATTTTATTCGCCTTTTAAAGTTAGACTAAGAGCCCCAGAAGCTCTTATTAACTGGTTACCTCAAAGACTATACTGGAACACTTGATTTGCATTTAAAGAGAAACCGTCAATATAATAAGATTCCAGGACTATTTCTGTGTTTCGCTCTGAAGCCTAGAACGTCTGTGGAATCAGTGTGAAGTGATCAAACAGCTATGAACATGGCTGAGAATTCTTTTTGTTCAGAGTATCACCAGGTTCAATCATCACTGGGATTCAGAGTCTGTTACCAACCCATTTTTAAATTCTTAGCCATTTCTACTTTACAAATTACACATGTGACAGCAAGGCATGTATTTATGTCATGCCAAGAATCCTAGATCACCACATTAGAGGTAACAACCAATCACCACCCTTACTCAGATAATTTGCACGTAGCAGTTTCATTGGCTGTATGAGGAAGACTGAACAGATGGATTATTTGGCCCAAGTACCACACTTATGCAACAGCATGGGCTTTCCGCTACTAATATGGAATGAAGTCACAACATTCAAAATGCTGCATTCCTCCCACTCTGACATGAACATGTGCTAAGATTATAAGGCAGAAAGTAAGATTGTGGACCCTGTCATCTGGCCTGCAGTAGTCTTGGGCAGAAGGCTGTATCACTGGGAGGGTTTGTTTGTTTAAAGGAAGAGGCAACATTTAACAAGGTTAAGATTTTACCTAGAAGTCCTTGCAACTTATGCCTGCCATTCTGTTAATTAAATCTGCTGTGAAAAATGTACTGAAATTGTGCTGCAGTACCTTGGCGTGATCAATGGCCTTAAACATTTGCATATCTATTTAACACACACCCTTCCGTTTATCTTGAAGACTGACTGGAGTAAAACTGGTTAAGAATAGTGACTGAGCAGTGCAAGTCAGGACATTCTGTTGACAGAAGAGTGGCTGAAAACATTGAGGTCATCCACAAGTTTTTAACATTTTCCTCTAAGAGAAAACAGGTCACTACAAATGGACTTCAGAAGCAATTCAATCAGGGCCTAGCACTAAAATCCATGATCAGTCCTAACTCACAAACTAATACTGTCAGCATATTGAGTCAGGATCTAGGATTTTAGGGCCTCACATTTACCTTTCTGATGAATAATAGAAAGAGATGTAATACTATGGTTAAGGGTAAAAGACCTTTTTTACAAAACCCTCAGAGTTTAAGTCTAAAAATTGAATTATGAGGAGAAAAATCCACTATAATGATTTAAATAAGTAAATTCCAACATTATCACATTTCCCTGCACTGCTAAAAATGCACCAAAGCCTCCTTCCTGTCAGCATGAGAAACTAAAAGTGAAACTGACCTGCCTGTCCTTGTCCAAGGTGACTGAAAAGCAAAAACACAAAAAACCCCACAGCCCTTAAACATGATAAAAAGCTAGAAATTCAGTATTTTAATAATTTACAATCTTATTAGTGACAGGAAATTTGTTTTTAAGTCACTTCCTTTGACATTCCTCTGAAACTCTTATGCTAAAGCACCTTTATATTGCAGCAAAGTCTGTATTCAGAAATTTCTTGTACACTTTCAAAACTCAGCTACTTCAAAGAAGAGCCTCAAAAAAACCCAAACTCAAACTGATTGAAAACAATTATTTTATCAAGCACATTGGGGCCTGGAAGTTATCTGCAATGTGTGATTTGCGCCTTTGAAACATAAAATAAACAATAGGTGGAATTTTGAAAAATACCTACATCATTTCAGCATTTACTGTTTGCCTCAAAGAAATAATTCTGCAAGCCTGTTCAGATTGTACATTCCCAAACTATGCTCATAAAGAAACTTAGTTATTTTGTGGTATGGGAAGAAATATTAAGTACATAGCAACTGACAATTGCTGGTTTGAATTTTTGAAGCATTACTAACAAAACCCACAAAAACCTAGATAGTTTTGTTAGAAGATTTAATCTTATGACAACAACCGTTTCCCCTCATCCCACCTTTTCTTTTCACTGAATGTGTACATAACTCAGCCTGCCCTATATGTTCTTTAATGAAATTGCTTCAAGACCAAGATCAAAGACGATTTTCTCACAACAGGAATTTGATAGGACTGGCACAACTGCAAGTTGGCTTTTACAACAGCTTTGATAAAAACACGGTGTCCCTAAAGGTGAATGCTTATAACTTCTCTTTACATTAACCTACAGTTCCGGTGCCACTACAAACCAGCATCTAATAACCTTGAATATAGGAGCTCATGGCTCAAATGGAAAGATGAAGCTTCTTAAAATGGCTATTTTAAATAGACTACCAGATAGATTCAGCAGTTTTCAAGTGCAGTTCATTTGACTAGTGAAGGAATATTTATCAGATGAATGAAGAGAGGCTTACCTGGTTACTCTCAAGCTTCAGATGGCTAGTACCATACAATACGTCAAAATAAAACTGAAATTTAAAGAGAAATTTGAGATTCTGGAAATTGCTAAGTCCTGATGATTTATTGATTCAGGCCAACAGCATGAGAGGCAGCATGGTCAGTGGCTAGGGCTACAGCTAGAGATGTTTGGAACAATCCAGGTGGCAGAGGAAGAGGAGGGTGAAAAATAGCCCTACTTACAGGGATGCTGGAACAATTTGTACAGTGGGGGTGCTGAGAGCCATTGAACCAAACTGTAAATGTAAACCCTGTATATGATGGGAACCACTTCAAGCCAGGAGTGTTGTAGCACCCCAGGTTCCAGCCCCTTTGCCCACTTAATGCAGCTGGTGAATCCTGTTGCAGGCTTGTTGTATATGACTAGCCATTTTGTATCTGCTGCAACTATATAAGTCCCCTTGATAAAAGTAAAACACACACCCATGATTTAAATGTGCCACTCTGTCTTCTGCTTAGTCTGGTCCTGCCTTGCGTCTGGGTGGTGGATGTTATACCACTGTGTTATTAAACCTGCTTAAGACATTTCTTCCCAGGGAAAAAGTCAAACACAGTAGTTGGGTCAGCATTATGTTCTCAGAAGTCATTTGGCATTTTAATATACTATATACTTTGATGCCTTAAGAAAAGACACCATTCCCCACACTAATTCTATTTCACAAAGAAATATCAGATACCACATAGCTGGATGGAATCCAAAAGTTAAAACTAGCACTAATATTTAAAGGCCAAGATTTTTATTTTATTTTATTTATTTATTTTTGAAGCAACAAGTTGGGCACTCAGAATCACTAAAGACAATTTCAGATTATCTGATTTGCAGGAAGACAGATTTTTCAGAAAGTGATGAACTATCAGGCCCCTTTGATAAAGCAGGGAAACCTTTAAAAAAAAAAATCACTAGTGTGGGTCACAAATACTAGCTGTAAGGTTGTGGGTCACTCTTTTCCTCTTTTGATTCATCAGGTGTGCATTGGAAAATATCAATAGCCTATAAAGCAGGATAATAAAATGAACCAAGTAAAAGAGGAAAGATTTTTCAGACTTCAACCAAACACAAAGTAGCAATAAATTTACGTTTCATGCCAATTTAGACATCATGGGTCATTATCTGAGAAAAGTTCAGTGTTGCCAACCTCAAGCACTGAAAAACTCCTTCAATCCTCAAAATAAAATAAATTAGATTTGCTTAAAAATAGTGATTTAAAAAAAAAAAAAGCTCATTGGATTCTTTATGTTCACTGGATTTTTAGCCTTTAGGGTACACACTGTTCACATTTTCAAGATTTTCTCCACAATCACGAGGGCTAATTTTTTTTATTTTTTTAAATAAATTGAAGCAGAGATCCTCCCCTAGTCACTTGATTTTAGGAGCCGGAGCTTTGAGACGGACAACAAATATCACGAGAGTTGGAAACACTGAGTTACACTTTATGTAAAGGCTGTTCAATTTACACCTAAAATTTGTACTTCTCACAAGTCAATCGCTGCAGAGACAAACTTCAATCTGATAATCAGACCTGCATGGGCATGTCTCTGTAGGCATGAGCAGAGGGGCTGCTTGCATGGATCCAATCACAGGATCTGATCCCAAGATAACAAGAGGTTCATGTGACTGTTCTTGAGGCATCCAGGACTGGAAATCATTGTGTTAGCCCCCTGCCACTCATGATAGGTAGTC